TGTGCAGCCAGAGAAATGAGGAGGCTACAAATCTCCCCCACAGAGGGAATGAAGCAGTGAGCAACCCTCATTGCTTTGAGAAACCAGCTTACAGCACCTCACAAAAGGAGATCTGGAAACAGCTCTATTCTGAAACCCCTCTGGGTCTAGGACATCCCACCCCACAGACAGGGAGGTGGTTCTGCCCTCTGCCTGCCCTGGCTGCAGGGCCTGCAGCCCCCAATCTCTGGTACCTTATAGCACCTCCCTCTCTGTGTCTCTGGTCCTGGCCAAAGAGCCACAGCAAACACAGAGGAGGGAGGGAGAGCAGACTTCCCAAAGACCAGTGCAGCACCCTTGGCACAGCCCCGGCTGGCACGTGTGGGGCACCGTGGGGTGATATGCAGTGCCATGCTCCCGCATTTGGGACTGTAATGACCGGTGCTGTGGATGGGCAAATTGAACTCTGCCCTCCTGAGCTGTCAACAAGGCTGAAGCCAGCTCTTGAGCTAGATCCAAAGAAGCAAAACAGTCTTAAAAGTCCATCATCTGGGAAAGGTGTCCTTGGTCCCCATGCCAAAGCCAGAAGGGATTCACTCTGTCCTTCTGGTCCGCAAACCTGCAGTTTCCATGTCAGAGTAGCCTCATCACAGTCCTGCACAACTCCAGGAAAGCAGCAGTGAGGAAGAACCATCCCTCTGACATCCCTCTCTGGGTCAATGGGCAGGGGAACATCACTCCTATGTGTTACTCTTATTTTTCTGCTTCCATATTTTAGACAAGCGGAACTTGTTCTTCTTCTTCTCCGGCTCCTGGCTCTCAAGAGATCCATCTGCAGGAGAGGGAGCAGACACTGAGCAGGTTGACACTCACACCCTCAGTGCAACCCAGTGCTGCTCCGTAAGAGTAGAAAGGGCCCTTACCCAACCTCTGGATCATGTCTGCCAACATCTGGTCCTCCTCTTGCTCTCTGTAATGGAACAGCACGGCATTAGAAAACTGCTGTGTTTCCTCACAAGGTGGCAGACACCGAAAACCAAGCAAAGACTGTTATTTCCCCAGTCAGAAATGACCGACCTCCGTAGCACACATTGAGAAGGGTGCAGGAGAAAAACATAAAAGTTAGAGGTGTCCTAGACATTAGCAAATTGTAACCGATTTCCTTGAAAGCAAGGGCCTGTGTGGGGATTCCCAGCCCGTGGCAGGCCAGCACTGCAGCAGGGAGGCCCTTCCCCTTATGAATCATCTGAGCTGACTGAGCTGTGTGACACCACCCACCCCAGGAGATGAATAAAGGCTGAGACACCAGTAGCCCGGGGTGCTGCAGAGGCGCTCCTAGCATCCACGGACAAACTATTTTCCCTGGACCTGGGCAAGGCCAGAGCCTTACTAAAACCCTTAGGCTGGAGTTGGCACCCTGAGGTCATTAATGGAAGCTGCTCCCAGCAACAGGAGGCACAAATCCAGCTACTTAACACAGCAGTCTTCCTTTGAACTTGGGGAGGATCCAAGTCTCGACTACAGTTGCTCTTTCACTTGCTGCAGCAGACAAACATCCCTGGCTTCATGTTCCCAGAGTCCCCCTGCAGTTCCCGTGCTGCCTCCCACATCCTCCCCATCTCCAGCTTCTCCCTCTCTTCCCCCTGCCTTCTACATTTTCCCAGCCCTTGTCCTCAGGGCAGCATCAGCTTGGAGCGCACGGAACATGGCTGCGGTCCTGGTCTCGGTTTCTAACAGCTGCCAAGGGAGCAATGGCAGCGGCGTTTAGGACAAGATGGTTGGTGACAGGTCACCACTCACCTCTCAGAGCAGAAGTCTGGATTACAGCCATTCCTCCACCCCTACAGCCGGGGCAGCGGAAAAGGTACAATGGAAATCATCCCTGGTGTTGGCTCATCTCCCACCATCTGAGGGCCCTCACCTGAGTCTGTCCTCATCCAGGCACTCCACAATATTATTCCGATCATTGACTGTGTTCAGGTACGACTCCAGCAGCTCCTTCTCTCGTTCCTTCTCCCTGGGTGTCTTCAGTTCCTCTGCACAAGACAAGGGAAGCCCATCTCACAGCTACAGGCTGTGGCTCCTGCCTCCACCCTGCTCCAGAAGATCTCACAGGCCCAAATTTTGTTATCCGCATGCTCAGGCACACCTTACATCCCTTCAGAAAGCACAGGCAGGTTGGATGCCACAGGGAGTCTGCACCCGAGAGCACAGCCAAGAGACACCGCACTGTGAAGCTGCAGCCCCTGGCAGTGTCAGATGTGAAGCCCACCCCAGGTCTGACGTGCAGAGTGGAGGGCTGCACACAGCCAGGGGCCAGCAGGACTCTCAGTGGAGCCGGTCCTTACCTGGCTTGTTCATGATGTGTCGCAGCTCCAGCTCAATGTTCCACTGCTGTTCCTCCAGCTTCTGCTGTTTCATCCTGGAAAGAACCACAGAAGTGAGGAGTTGTGCCTCGCCACGCCCCAGGACTGGACCTGCTGTGCTAAAGCCTCATCTCGGCATTGCTAACCACCTTGGTACCGATGGGTCAAGGGAAATCTTCCTTCATCATATTTGTAAGGTTTCCCTCCCCACAGACTCATCACAGACCCTGGGTGCCCATCAGTGCTCACAGGCTCATCAGCTCATACCTCAGGATGCTGGTAGTTCTCCCTGAGATATCCTCAAGCCCTCACTCATCCCACCAACTGGCACATTATTTTCTGGGCTGCCACATTCCCTATCCTTCTGCCGCTCACAGGTGAAGCACACAAGCAGACAGGCGAATTTCTGGATATACTTACTTATACATCAGCTCCGATTCCTGCCTGAGCAGCAGCTGTTTCTCATGGATCAGTTTGAACCAATCCACCATGAGGGCATCCTCAGACTCATCTGCAAAGGAGACAAGGAAAGACTCCTTCAGAAGCTGCATCAGTTCATTCTCCCTGGCTTAAACACAGTCACTTGAGGGAGAGCCTAGGATAACTTGTATTAGCCATAGCCAACCTCAAGTGACAACAGCTCATCTTTGGTACTCCTGGGTACAAGGAAAAGGATGCAGATCACTCCCTGCAGAGTCAAGGAAGCTGCTCACAGACACTCTGCCACAGGGCACCCAGCTGACCTTCCACGTGGCCAGCCCAACTCTGCCATTCTGCACGAACTCACTAAGCCCTGCGAAACTGGAGCCAGCCATGATGGCCAGTCTGGCTTAGGATCCAAAAGCTAGATCAATAGCAGCCTTCCACTCCCAAAACTCCCTGATCTTCAGCCAAATAAACACAAGACCTTGCTCAAACACTAAGTTAGGAAACAGCCATAGGGAGTTCAAATTTCCCAGGGCTTTATCTTGTTATACCAGGTAACTGTGGCAACCTGGTGTCTCACATGCAGCATGAACTCCTAGAAATGGAGCCAAGAACGCCCAGGGGTAGGACATGAGCCTCACACCTCCCCACCGTAACACAGCTGGTCACCTTTACCTCCCTCGCAGCCACGCAGCTGCTTCTCCAGATCCACTCCTTTCAACTCCAGCTCATCCAGCTGCTTCTCGATGTCACGCACCTTCGCCTGGATTTCCTCCTCGGAGAGGTAGTCTGGGTGCAGCTAGGAAAACAAACATAGCACCAAATACAGCTCAGTGCCCTCTGACTGCCTGCTGAGGTCACAGAAGCAACAGAGATGGGATATAACACAAGGAGCCCAACTGCAGAGCCATGTCCCCAAGTGCCAAGTCAGGAGAGATGCCGAGCTGGCTGCTCATAACAAAGCAGTGGCCACTGCAGAGTTACAGTGCCGTGATACATTCACCGTGAGCAGTAACATCTACCCACACATGTCAATCCACAGACATTTTCCCTCCTTTGTTGCCGGATACATCTACCCGGACTGTGTTTGGCTCTGCCTTATTCCGCCTTCTATCATCCCCCTGCATGGGAGATAACTGGCAGTCTCTCCATCTTGTCTCTGCCTCAGAGCTTTTCACCATTTCCCTGGGAATTCAAATAAACCTCCCCAGTAAGACAAATGGATCTATCAGGCCAAGCATTCTGTCAGGATGCCCAACAACCCCAGCCTGCTTCCCTCACACCTCATTTCCAGCCATACCTTGGTTGGGGACTGGACTTCAGGGCTCTGGATGCTTTTCGGAACAGAGGGTTTAACTAGAAGGGAGAAAAAACACAAAGAACACCACAACAAACTTTAAATACTGTTGTGGTGTGGGACAGTGCCTACACCACCAGAAAGCACAACAGGTCCCTGCCACCCACCAGCGGGCACTGACAACAGGCATGCATCGGCACGCCTGACTAAGGTGAGATGTGTCCACAGGGAAGAGCACAGCCTGATTTACTCCTCGTGGCTGGACACTCAGATGCCCTGCGGTCACAGGGTGTTGCTTTCACCCCCAGGGCACAGGCAGACACCTAACTCAGGTGTGACATGGGACCTCACACCCAAGAATATTGACTTTCATGTTCATTCATTATCTTGTTAAAACTCAAAGATATTTATTGTGGCAAAAGCCACGCCTTATTAAGCTCCCAAAGGATAAAACAGAAATATTGGGTTGCAGGAAACACAAAGATAAATACACTTAAGTATATCTTAAGCAGGGTACTTAGGTATATACTTAAGAGCACCTCTAGTGCTCTTGTACAAAGAATCATCAGTAAATACTGATGAAACAAAGGTGGTCTAGGGGACCTTAGCATAGGTCTGAGGAAACTAAGGTTCAATTCCTTCCACAAAACACTTCCTAGGTGAGAAGTCCCTTAAGCCCCGCTACACAGCATTATTTAGGCCCTGGACACCTATTAAAAGCAATCCTTCAGCAACGTGTATTTGTTCCACTGTGCCTCAGCTTCCTCCGCCCAACTGTGCTGCAAGGATAACTACAGAAGAGTGTGAGGTATTCGGATACCCGAGGGGCTGGGCTGGATAATTACCACAGAGAGAGAACAGAGGCGTACGTGGATGATGTGACAGGGAAGGAAAACTCCAGTATCAAAAGATCAGGGCTGTGAGAAAGGCAGCAGCTATGCAGGCTCAGCACACACAAGGAGAAAGACAGGACAGACAGACCAGGGGAGCCTCACGAGAGTCTCTGGCAGTTGGTGTTGACTCGAAGAAGAGCTCAAGGACACCTCTCCTATTTCCCAGCCCTCTCTCTACTGAGTTTTCTAGGATGAATGCGTAAGGAGAAGATGCTGGATGCAGCCATCAGCCATGCTGTCCCTGCACTGCTGGCCTCTGTCAGGCTTACATGTCCCTCTGGATGCTGCCCTGTACACTACCCGAGACTCGCGCTTCTCTTAAAGGTTCCTCCAAGAGGGACCTGGCCTGCCACGAGCAGGCTGCTGCTACTGCCTGAGCAACACCTCCCTCTACCCGCTCTGCCCTGCGCCTCCCGCTCCTGAGCAATCGCTGCAGCACCTCCAACCAGGGCAGAAAGCTGCACCACTGCTCACGAGAAGACCAAGGTCACTGCAGGGGAACAACTAGTAAAATGACACTCTCCTGACCAGCTCCGGGGCTGATATCCTCTGATATCCCTCTCTTGACAGACACAGCATGGGTTGGCTGCTTGCCTGCAAACTGGAAGTAGGACAGTTGGCAAGAAAATCCTGAAGCCTCCTTTCTCAACAGAAAACACTACCTACACCAAAGAAAACTAAGGATCTGCAGCAATGCTCACCATCCGCAGCCCCACGCAACACACAGGATTAAGGGCAGGAATGGTAGCTGACTGTTCACAGCATCTGAGTGCTGAGGTAAAGACCTATACAGAGAAGGAACAAGTCTCTCAATCCACAGGCTGCCAAGTGACAGCAGCAAGAGAACAGCCTTTCAGATGGCAGACTCGCACACACAGAGACTGGTGGGAAAGTTGCCTATAGCGGGCACTCCCCAGCAGCAACCACTAAGCTTTAGAAAGACAGAGATAAAACCAGCCTCCCTTATCTTAACAGCTCACTTCCTGGGAAAGATGTAATGCTGAACCTTGTGGCTGTGTCTGAGGAAAAAGGAGATGGAAAGTTTTGGGAAAATGATGGCAGTGGAGGCATGCTGAACTTCTAACATAACAGAACTGGGGTTTGAATGCTTTGTAGCTGTCAGAGGTGCGGGCTAAGGACAATACTGGACTCAGCTAACAAATACTAAAGCATGAGGCCACCGAGCCGTGGGGACCCATCCTGCTTGCTCTGAGACAAACTTGAGAGTCAGGGCTGAGCCCTGCTGCTGAGTCCAAACAGATCTTCTAGTCCAAACAGACAGGACAGAGCCAGATGGGGTAAGGAAAACAGAAAACAAACAAGCTGAGCAAACAGGACAGCAGCAAACATCAGGTGAGTTGCAGGAAATTTCATCTGCATTGTGGTGGGATATGTAGGAGCAAGGACAACTGGGCAAAGGATGAGAGGTACACAATAAAGCTGTGGTTTAGCAGACAGGAGTAAGAAACTGTATTCAGGGTAGGGACAAACTGTTCGGAACTGGTCAGGACATCTTTGAAAGTACCAAGAAGCAGCAGGCTTGGCTGCTGTTACCATGGGGCCCACCAGCTGGAGCCTTGGGCTGACAGTTCACTGCATTCCTTTCATTTCCCAAAACCATTCAACTGGAATGAAACAGACACATAAACTAGATCCCAGTTCCCCAAATTAGGAGATGGTCCTCTTCATAGCCTTTACACTAAAGAATGACAGGGCAATGACCATGACAAATCCCTATTTTAATTTCTTCCCTTCCCACTGAATTCTCTGGCCTGCCTTGTTCTTGCTTAGGCCAAACTGGCTAATAATAATTAATGACACATTTTTCCCCCATAACAACATCCACAGAAAACTCAGGAACACATCTCCCATCCTGACCACTCAGGCTGTCTCCTGACAGTGCAGAAGAGAGTGCCGTTAAGCAGGCAGAAGACACCTTACATGTGGTAGAGCTTTTCTTCAACTGGTTGCTCTCTTCCTCCTTTGCAGAGCCCCTAGAGTCTTCCCAGCCTTGCTTTAAATTCTGACAGCTCATGATAAGATCTGAGCTGGGGATCAACTTCTTCTTCATGAATCCACCAGATGAAGCTGGATTAAGAAGCACAGACAGGTTTTGGGTAAGAAATTTCAACCCTCATCTCATAAAAATCCCTTTATTGCCCAGCATCTCTGGCACTCACCACCTTCATTTCTAGTCCTAGTTCTCCCTCTTGATGATAGCAAGGGATGCAAACCAAAGGCAACAGGGAGAAACCACTCTTTACAAGGCCAGAGTATGAGAGAAGGATGGAGGAGAAGAATAAAGCATTGAGACCCACCACCAAGATTTCTCATCATTACACATATATGCAGGAGAGAGTAAGCGAAATCTTGCTAGCTGTCTTGCTGATAAGGGCACCCTGTGAAGACCAAGTCCTTCTCCTTGGGGAAGGACAGCTCTCCAAATAAAGGCACCACAGGGCCAAAGCAGATGCAGAGCAAAAATCCCTGAAAACAAGGCAGAATCTCCACCAAGTTCCTTACATGTGCCTTGCAGCTCTAACGCCTGTCCGCTGCCTGACTAGCAAAATGAAGGCAAAGCTTGTATCCTTCCTACCAGAGTCCTGCTTTGCTGACGGGACAACTAATGGACTCGGTTTTGTCTCCTTCTGTGCTGGGCTCCCTGTTCCCACCTGGGAGTTATCAGCAGGTTTCTTAGAGCCACCTTGGTCTCTGCAAAGAAGAAAGACAAAGGTAGGAAACTACCCCTCTCACAGAATGGTCCACTGAAGCGTTCTGGACATCCTGGGCTGGATCTCCATCCGGCATGGCCACGCTTTTCTAATCAGAGTCCAGCAATTTGAAATAAGCTTTCCCCCCCAGAAATGAAAGCCTTTGCCTCTTCCATCAAACTGTTGGAAGCAGAAGCATTAAAACACAGGTGGTCTTCCCTCTCACATGCACACAGACCTGCAGCAGCAAACACAGCCGCAGACACGGACTTCCCCATTCACTTGTCACAGACACCCACTGGCTCCAAGACACTCACTTGCTGGTTACAGGCTTCAACCGAGATCTCCACTCTGCTGGGCTCTCAGACTTGTCTTCAACATCTGCACTCCCTAAAGGAAAGGACATAGCAAGGTAATATCAGGTCCAATATAAAGAAACAAGTCAGATTTGTGTCTCAGGAGGATCTTAGGAGATAAGCTGTGCACTGGGGAAGATACTACGACGTTACTGTGCAAACCAGCACCAGTTCAACAAGTTTAACATGGGCAGATTCACATACAATAGGTAGTAAGTAACCTTCGTGGTATTTTGCCTCTTTTGGCTCAAATGCTTTACACCCTACACAGCTACAGAAATACAGCCACAGTATAAAGGAACAGGCATGTTTGACAGCAATATAACAAACAGCTTAGATCTCACAGACCAAGGGATGGGGCAGGAAGGGGCAGGGAAACAAAACACCCACAGGCTCACAGCAAACTGCAGATGAAAAAGGCCGTCTGGAAGTGGTAGAGACACTAGGTACCCGCAGAACATCATCCCTCAGCCCACTGCTCAGTCAGCACAGTGGAAGCTTGGTTCAAACCAGACAAAGAAGCTGGCTGAGCCCCAGCTGCAATCACAAAATCATCCTGAAGTTCTGGCAAGGTCTCTCATCTGGGAAAGTCTACCTAAGCCTCTGAAATCCACCATGATCCCAACATTTGATGACAGCTAATACAACTTCAAATACCTGGAGATCCTCAGAGAATAAAAACTCACCATGCTAGAGGGAGAAACTGCACAGGGATAAATGGAGGTGTGTGAGCCCCAGAATTCAGAAAACCCTTATGTGGTGGTACAGACAGAAAGTATAGGAGTCACTGATACATTCATTGTACTGGTCCAAGAGAAAGACATCAAGTTGGCAGAGCTGTATGTGAGTCAGTCATCCTCACCTTTCATGCCCTTGAACTCTGGCTTGTGCACAAAATCAACAGGTTTGCTGGCAGCCTGGCTCTTGGGCAGAGGGTCTGTGGTCTTTTCCTGTTTCAGTGCTGTGTACCCTGTTTTGCTAGACTGTGCTTTTAGAGCTGGACTTTGCCACTGAGAACTGGTGGAAGAAAACTTGCCACTGCAAAAAAGAACAACCTAGTGAGTCTTTTTGAAAGGACAGACCATTTTATTGGCTTCTGTTCCAAAGAGGAACAGAGTGAGTCCCTCTACATGTCTTTAAATCTCAGCCACAAAAACAGCAAGGGGAAAAGGAAGAAAGATGCAGGGACTTCACGTTATCCCAAGGATCGTCTTGGGAGTAAAAAGGGATAGAGAAATAGGACTTACCTGCTGGATGCTGAGAAGCCAGTAGAATTGAGTCCTCCTGGCCTGTTTGGAGAGGTTTTTGATCCAGCCAGAGCTTGTATAATATTGTTACGTGCCTGATCCTTCTCAGCACTCACTGGACTGACCTCAGTAGTGGTCCTGGCAGGGGCGGTTTTACCAGGGCCATGAGAAGAAAGGACTTGTTTTCTAGTGTCAGAGGTTTTATTGCCAGTGGACTCTACAGACTGAAAAAAATTTTCTCGGGCTTGCTGTGTTTTTGTTGCAGAGGATGTCCCAAGAGGCCTTGATGGGGTACCTTCACGGTGATCTGTTTTATTTCCCAACGGGGTACTTCTGCAGTCACCTGATTTATTTACAGCTGGAGAGGACCATGGAGTATTTACACTTTTGAAGCCAGAGCTTCCAGAAAATGAAACAGATGGCTTGGTTGAATTAGCAAGGCCTTCCTGGCTGGGTTTCTTCAACACCTGCTCTGGTTTCTTGGGTTCTGCTGCTTTCTGGAATGCCCTGGCAGCAAGAGGGGCTGGGGTACTCTCAGGTTTGTTCCTGGTGCTGTGGAGACCAGAGATCTGGATGTTGTCTGGCTGCTGGTGGCTGGTACAGATGAACGTACCGGGCTCAGGCCCAGCTTTGTAGCTTCCAGGAAGAAGCACGTTCCAACACTGTCTGCACCTGTGGATACAAAAGTCTCAGAAAACATCCTCCAGAGGACTGGGAGGCCATTGACACACAGCTGAGAGCGTAGGCACAATTCCACTGTCAGCACAGGGAGGGCGAAGGTACCACACTGGCTGTGAGCAGACCCCATGTGCACATTCCTCAGGCACCAAAACAGGAGCTGCTGATAGCACAGCCTGAAGTAGGGAAGGTGTGGATAAAAACAGACCTGTGCAAAGAATTTCCCCTATGCACATGTCAAGAGCAGGCCCGGGTTGCCTCCACTCTGAAAAAAGAGTCTCACACCACTCTCCCTCCAGTCCCAAAGGAACCAGGCTGCCTCTCTGCGATCCACAGACCTGTGCCCCCACTTTGAAAAGCTGTACCTGAAGCAGTTCCTGTGATAGAGTTTCCCATCGACCAAGTAGCGCTGCACCAGGTGTACATGGTTCCCGCAGATCCCACAGCTGCTGCTAGGGATATTCCCACTCTCTGCCAGGACACCTTTCTGTGGGGAGAAGCAGTGGATCAGCAGGCAGTACCGTGGCTCTGCTTACAGCTATGAATCTCCCAGGTGGGCAGACATTCAACATGCACAGCCAGTTGGTTAGGATACAGAAGTGATATCCAGGAAATCCTTGCTCCCACTAACTCCTTGTTCATACGTGTGGAACAGCTATCAGGAAGACAGAGTAAGGGGAACTTATTCCCACAAAGTCAGAGGACCAGGGTATTTTGTCTGCCTGTGGAAAACTGGAGTGCAAAGGTGTATGATTTGAGTTAGCTGGGAAAGGTCCGTACCCTGGTGAGAGAGAAGCTTCCCTTCTTCTACCCTGTTTTTGTCCCTACTCTGCTTTGAAACTGTTTGCAGGTATTTAATCCATGTTTTCTAGCAAAAACAATACATTCTGTTAAAAATGCCCATCCCCAAGATCTAAGAACAGCACAACCATGTCCTAAGACACCCGTGTCCTATTCACCACTAGATAAATCCCAGCTGACTTTCCAATTACTCCCACTTGAATCTGTTCAGTAACCAGACCTCTGGATTAAATCCCCCACAGTGAGCAGAAAATTTAGAGACTGAGTCCTTACTACTATGGGAGCTGTGAACCAGCACACTAGTCTCTAGGTCGCTGAACAGATTTAAGTTTTAAAGCATGCCTCAAAATACATTTCTTACCGTGGTGACTGGGGAGGCTTCTTTTGCCTTAGCTCTGGCTGGTGGGTGAGCAGGAGGCAGTTTAGGTGGCACTGGCTTAGGAGGCTCTGAAACAGCTTTCTTTCCAAGAGGCTGCTCCTGAGGTTCAGAGGAAGGACGCTTGATTCCAGCCATGCCTCCAACTGGAGGAAAGGGAAGATTTTAAGGGAACATAAGGAAAACCCAGGGGTTTATGAGTGAGTTACAAGTTAAGAAGATCCAGAGGTGCCTAATGGATAACATGCAAACCACACAAGACGACACAGGCTTCCTTCACAGGCAGTTTGGTGGAGTGAGGGGCAAGGGGCAACAAGTGAATTTTACCAATATTTTTTCTTCTCAGGGAATTCCACAGAGGGGAATGAAAAAGTGGAAATATACAAGCCACCATCCCTCAGTGGTGTGAGCAAGACCTGGGTTTGTACCTGGCCCGCAGTTTGGATGGAACTGATCACCTCTGAAACAGGCACTGCTGTTAGGTATTACAGCTAAAGAACTGGAGCACGGAAGGTTTGCTTTGTTCAGGTCGCTGTGCTCCAGACTTCCTACACACCCTGAACCTCTACTGCTGTGGGTGTCCACCCCACATCCCAGCTGGGACTCTCATGGAGCAAATGGGCTTGTTGAATGCAGAAATGACCACTGAAAATGAGTAATTCTACCACAAAGACCTGGAGGTGCCATGGTGGTGCTGATGTGGAAACCGAGACTTGCCATAAGAAGCCTGCAAATTCCCAATCCTCTTTTCTTTGTAGATGAAAGAGAAACCCTCTAAATTCACAAATGAAAATACAAGAATCTCCAACACTCTTCAGTCAAGCAAGGAATGATGCCACAAGCCCAGGAAGTGCAGGAGACTTTGCTGGGAAATGAGGCTTCATGCAGTTTTTACAGAAAAGACCCCTCATCTGTCTCACAGGGATGTTATTTTTGCGCTACTTCCTATTCTGAATGCGATGGCTCTTTATTCCTTGTGGGATGTTCGAGCCACAGCTTCACTTTAAGAGCAACCAATTAAATGACCACCCATCTGAAAAGAGATTATACCCTTCTCAGTAAATACAGAGGGAGTCCGGGCAGGGAGCAGAGAGGAAGCCCAGTTCCCAGGCATCTTCTCTCCAGAGAGCTAGCTACCCAAATAAACACCCAGGGCTCTTACCACAGTGACCAGTGGGCTGGTGAGAGCTGACCCAGCAAATGGTTTTGATTCAGCCTGCCCCCTCACTTCCCACTTGTGCCACTTCTCGAGTTCCCAAAGCCCAGCTCTACTCTGGTGTAAACGCCTGACCCAAATAAAATTCTGGCTGCTGGCCCTCTCTGCTTATTTCATGGTCCTGCCGAAGCCCATTCGAAGGGCACGACTGCGGTATTAGGAGTCTGCTTGGTGTCAGAGAGCACATTCCTGGCTGGGCTCATTTTAAGACATGCACATTCACCCCAGCAACAAAAAAAAATTTGTGGGACACTAGAGAGTATAAAAATGTGCCGTGCTTGATGACGTGGTAGGAAAGATGCTGTGGGGGAGGGGGTAAAGACCCCAAACTGACCCAGATTCCCACCACTTGGCACAAACACGATGGAATTTGACTTCAATCAGAATGGTTTTAAAACAAGAAATATAAAATGAAGAGGGGGGAGGGAAGAGCTTGTGGAGGGAGAGAAAAAGAGCACATAAATGCGTAAAGAGGCAGAGAAGGGGGAAGAGTTTACATTTTAAAGGCAGCTCTAAGAGTGAATTGTGCTCTCTTTCCAAGATGTAGGACATTTTCAATACATATCTGTCTTCATCTAGATTCACCTTAACCAGTTAAGTCATCATGTCCCACTTTATAAAGCTTCCTCTGGAGGAACCTGTGAAATTGGTTTATTGTATTATTTCATTTTGCGTGAGCTTAAAGCCAAATATAAACCAAGTCTATAATAATGTTCCTAGGAGCCCAGATAAACTCTCCAGTATGTGAATATAATATCTTGGCAGCTCTGTGGCCTGTTTTATGTTTGAAAGAATTGCTATCACAATTACGCCAGTTAAGGGGGTCCTTTTCTTCTACTTCCTTCTATCAGCACTGCTGTGCTGTACAAGCCCTCCGACCGACGCTGCGCCACTGGCACAGCCTCACAGACGAGCTCAGCCTCATTAGGCTCCGTGTTCCCACCAGCCCTCCGGTGTGGCAAAGACTGGAGCAGGGATAGAGGTGCTCAGGAAAGGAAAGCTGAGGTGGAGACCTTCAGTGCTCCTGTCTGGCTGGACTGTAAGAAAATTTTAGATTGCATTTTGAATTTTAAAGGCACTAGTTTTAAAGACAAGGCATGGCCCTGTGCCCTTCCAAAAACACTGGTGCTACTGTACGCCAGTGTACAAATAGCTCAGATCCCCCACGGAAATAGTTTCGGTACCAAAAGGTCTCTGTGCAGCCTATTTTGCTTTTCCAAGCTTGTTAGGAGACAAAGGAAACCACAAAATTAAGTCCCAATCCTTCCCACCCCTCCAGGGATTATGGTACTTACTAGGAGACCGTCCATGAAAGTAGTTATAATACTGGGAAACATAGGTGAGGATGCTCAGCCTGTCTGGTACCTTCAGAGCAACCATATCCTCTGCATCCAGCAAGGCTGGGATCCCTAGCTCCTCCTCTGCTACTCGAAATGCCTAGAGAAGGAAGGAAGAAAAAAGAAAAGGTCTTGTCCAGCCCAGGCAGCAGAGCTGCTCCTCATCAGAAGTAAGAAACTCCACTGCAAACAGCCTCACTTGAACAATAACTCTACTGGGGAACAGCTGCACCAGTTTAACTCCTACATCATACGGCCGTTACAGGAACCAACGGAGTCATGGCTTCCAGCCACCACGTTGAGAAATTCAGGCAGGAAGCCAAAAATCTGGCCTGGCAAGCTGGCCATAGCTCACTGCACAGGAACTCACCTGGGCTTCCCCTGCTCTTCCTCCAGCCTGCCGCTATCTGGATATGCACAGCTGCAGAGAGCGAGGCCTGGCAGAAGGGGATGTGTCAGTCCAGGCTGGCAGCCTTGCTTCCAGGCTTCCAGCCCAACCTGGAGCGTTCCCCAATTAACGGTGCACTGGTAGGCGTTTGCAGGCAGCCTTCTACCTCCGAGTGCTGGGCAAACGTTAATGCTTCCTGCCTACTACAACCTGCTCTTCCCCATCTGAAAAAGGGGAAATCTTGGGCTGCAGGAAGGAGTGCTCTCTCCCAGACTAGCGATGGGGAAGAGAGGAATAATGCAGAAGAATTCCTGATACCTGGCTCCCTTCCAGCTTAACCATTTTCATGCTGCCTAACATGTATTTGGGGCAAATATTCCTCTCTGTAGTCCCCTCTGCTTTGACACCGCAGGATCAAAGTCAGGTGAAGGAGGGAAAAGGTATTTTCTTCTGCCTCTGAACAAGAGTCTTTACTAGAGGACAAAACAAATGCAACATCCATAAAACAACTTTTCCCTTGCTCAACTCAGTGTAGGGCTTTTACTAGGGACTTTCTCCAGCCTTCTTCCTTCCTGGTTTATAGGAAAAAAAATCCCTTCCCTCCTCCTTTGAAGCATCCTTTTTGAAATGCCAGCACAGCAAAGGAAAACAGCACTTGCAGGAGCAGAAAACCAAGGAAGGCTACTGCTGACCCCTACAGTGAAAGTGTTAAAGGAAGACTTGAACATATTAAAACCCTCCACATCTGACCTCTGGCACAGACACACACGCCAACTATTGGTGTACAAGCCAACTATTCCTGCTTAGAAGAAACAAACAGCCATTATTATTTGGCAAGATAATTACCATTTTTTTCCATTGGGTATCCCAGCAAAAATGTAACTGCGGACACTAAGCACGCTTTCAGCGGGTTACCTCCAGCCACGTCATCCCGGCTGCCAGCTCAGCCTGGCACCCGCCTGTCTCGTAACCTGGTACTTAATATATTCTTTGGAGCGTTCCCCATTACCCTGGCTGAATAACTGGTCTGACCAGTGTAGTTTACTTGCTGGACATTCCCAGTGTGCAGCCTAGCGGGAACGCAGGCCATGCCACCTCCTGCCAGAGAGTGCCTTAGGTGAGACCAGTGCAACAGGCACAGAACAACTGCAAGGGGCTGCCCCACACAAAGAGGAGGATGCTCTATACACACAACTGGTTTGGCCAGAATCAGGTGAGCAATGTGGAGAGCAGCACTAGGGTGTAGTGTCCCCTGTGCCTACGGCACCCTCGTGTTCCTAAGAACTGCTCTTGCCTCAGGAGCCAGCAAAATCACCACCTTACATGGCCCAGTGGCTCCTCTCCTCCACCTGCCTGCACAGGCTGGCCTTTAAAGAAGCAGCACATTATTTCTGCATAACATTTGTCATCAGTGCAGCTCCAAGTGCTTTATAAAGGAGGCAAATGCCTCTGCTCCCATTCTGCACAGAGGAGGCAAAGTGATACACTCAAGGCCATCTGAGCCAGCCAGGCACAGCTCTGCTCTGACACAGACTACTGCTGTGCCAGCTACACCACACCACCGTGCATCAGCACTGAAAGAACTGAATCCAAGGCCTCTAGAAACCTTTATTTGCTTTACGTATTTTTGAAATGTTTAGCAAAAAAATGCCACCAACTACTACTTTTCTATTTGAGAAGCGACACATTCTTCCTTGGCAGAAGACCTTATATGACAAATTGCAGGCCGGACACGGTTTTTTTAGTTGAATAATACAGCCCCTGAAAAGAAGTTATTGAATAGTGAGGCATCAAGGAGGGTCTGAACAATAGCTGAGGAACAGACCCACTAGTGTCCCAAGGGCAGCCAGAGGAAGAAAGCATAGGAGCTAGGGTGGAGAGCAGTCCAAGGGGAGAGGTCAGCCCAGGAGCTCAGAGGGGGATGGAGGGGGTCAACCCCACTCAATGCAGAACCAAGGTAGCAGGATACCAGCAGTGAAAGGACAGCACAGACAAGTCATCCTACAGCAGGTGGAAAAAGGAAGAGAGAGCAAAATAAAGGACATAAACTAAGAAATGGAGGGGGGGGCGGGAAACACAGGCTGCAACAAAGGAAAGGAACAGCTCTTCTTTTAAGAGGCACAAAGCAGCTTTTCATTACTAGAAGCAGTGGAGGCGGCTCACACAGTTCATTTCCCAGAGGCCAGCAAAGATGCCAGCAGAGCGGACACCATCCGCCCGGCTGGGGAAGGAGCAGCACTCGGGGCTCCGCAGCACCCTGGCTGGGGTGAATGGCCACGGCGAAGGGGCCCCGACGCCTGCCAAACACCAAACCTCAAGGGCAAAGACACCCAGTCCCAATCTCACCTAAAGAAGGGTTGAACACCCAGGGTTGAACCCCAGGGAGTGTGAATAACTGCTCACATACTGCAGCCCCAGCCTGGGGAGAGGGGGTCTGTTCAGGTACTGCGAACATGGCCGGGGCCAAAGGGGAGTGGAAGCTAAGGAGCGTGGGGAGGCGAGTTTAGCTCTCCCAGAGGCAAGGAGCACCTCAGACAGCTCACGGTGTCAGAGGATGTCATTCCTCCAGTCCAGACAAGAGTAAGCTGCTGTGGTTCGTTTGCATCCCGAACCCCTGCCAAGCAGCCATGAAGCTGTGGGGAGTGATGCCAAGAGGAAAACAAAGCATTTTTATCCACTGCTTCTCTCTTTGAGAGGGAAGAAAAAAGTCCATCCTTGGAGCACTAAGACCATGCTTGAATCCAGTGCAGGAGAGGGTTGGCCTGTCCAACTTCCACTTTCTTTGTGGAGAAAACAAGAGAAACTCAAATCCCATCCTGGAGTGAAGTGTCACAGGCAGGATAAGGTTTTAGGACATCTCCACCTTCCAGCAGTCTTCATTGCCTGCACTGGGAACAAGCAGAAGTGGGGGGAGACTCCCTGTACTCATCCTCTGACATCAGCTACCTCCTAGGTCCTGCTCCATCCCTTAGGAGCATCACGCACTCAACATGTCCAAGTTTTGACCTCCAGCATCTCTGTCCACGTGCCTGCTGCCACAGGACACACTGGACACAGACATCACTGTGCAGCCAGCAAAGAAGCACGAGCAGTCTGTGTGTGTTTTTAAGCAGCCAGCAAGCCTGGATGCTGCCGTTCAAATCAGGTTGGACGCATGCAGAATAAGGCAAAGGATTTGACTACAGCACACTCAGCATATCACATCTGCAGGGTTTCTGTCACTACACCACATAAGCACAAGGTGCAGAGTCATAGACTAGACCAGAAGTAAAAAATCGTTACTTACCAACTTGTTGTTCTCGTACACATTTTCTTTGCTGAGGGAGTTGAAGTTTCTGAAATACAGAAAGAAGAGAAAAATCTCAGGTTGGTGATGTAAAGTAAGCTGCCTCACTTCCAGCTTCTCGAATCTCTCTGAGCCTCACTGGTTCGGGGGACAGAGCACCTCCTCCCACTCTGCCTTCTCAGAGAAGTTCCAGAGGGAGCAGAGTGGCAGATCCCATCCAACACAGTCAAGGACCTGCGTACATCCCAGGACAGAGACATGCAGGAGACCCAGCAGGCACAGCCATCTGCCCTCCGGCAGCACAACACATTTTTGGCACATCTACCCTCGCAGGGCTGACTCCCAAAGCCTCCCGTGGACAGGACCTGCTGATGCCAAAACAACCCATGCAGATTCAGGCGGTGTGCTGAGACAGCCAGGAGAAGTCTCTAACTCATGGCCTGGATTTTTTCCCCCCCAAAAAGCCTTGCTCCTCTCCCACCTCAAAAAGATACACCAATGCCTGCCAGCCAGATCTGCAACACCCTCCCTGGAAGTACTTTCCAAACAGTTACATCCATGCTCTTCTCCCGCCTTGCAAGTTGTCTCCGCACACGGACCTCAGCTCCAAGGAGGTGTGGATGCCTCAGATGCTGCGTGCATCGCCTGCTTCTCCGATGCACTCATATCTCCAGATCTCAGAAGCTGCTGGTACCACCAGCATGCAAATTCTGGTTTCAAATACTCCTTTCGACTCTGGCAGAGCTCCACAAAACCAGCACCAGGAATCTGCTTGGGAAATACCTCTGCCCACAACACAATACTGCGGCTGACAACACGGAAGTTGCCCGTAGGAGTTTATTCTCCTTTCCCTAGAGCTGTCCCCTTTGATTTGTAATCATAACCAATAACTGAAAAGGAAGAGACAATTACTGTCTGCAGTTACAAGCCAAAGTCAACAATCCTCTTTCCTTTCTGGTATCCCTGGACATTGCCTCCCTCTTCTGCTCTCCCCCTCTCTGCTCCAGCCCAGACACCACCGCCCTCTGCACTGCCTGGAGCTCAGAGACCTGGCGGGACAGGCGAGAGAGCACAGGGGAGAGGGCGTTTGCGCTACTGGAAGTAAAGCCACAACACAGCGTGCTTTCTCCACCACAGCAGAGGGTGACAATGTTAAGAAACATCCACCGTCAGCTTTGTTTTAAACCGACTGTCATTTGCTAAACTGGGCATACAAGCCAACGGTTGGCTGGCAGGCCGTCTCGCCAACACGGCTTCCTCCTGCCCAGGCAAGCGGGCAGGGTCAACTCCTTTCTGATAACCCAGTTTCACTTCGCAGTCCTTGTACCTTCTGGCACAGAGCTAAGCACAAGGCTGATATCAGAGGGGAAATTCTCACTGATAAACAGAAAAGGTTCCAGCACCAGTTCTGCATTTTTGTACATAGCACCTTCATAACGGATGTGGACCTGCCCTTGCTAGCCAGTCCCTCACCTCAGAGGAGCCAGGATAACCGTGTGACAGCCAGGGTGACGCTGGCTCGCAGCGACCTATTCATGAGACAAACACATGATCTGTATCGCAGCAGGGGAACTTTTTCCATGACTTGTAACAGCGAGGAGCCAGCCAGGTCCTTTATCTACTCAGTACAGAAAGTGGAGCATTACATAATAAATAAGAGAGGCGCCTTCAAACAGGTTTGTCCATCGTGCCGCAGCCTACGCCTCCTCCCTGCTTCCCGCATCTGGCATTGCTGTGTGGGATAAGGAGAAGGAACAACAGGTAAGACCCAAAGGTCAAACTCCCCCAAGAAGCACGTGAAAACAAGGCACATCCCACCTCTAAATCATATACTCTTCCCTGTGCAAAATCAAAGGGACTTGCAGAGATTTTTCTTCAAGCAATGCTCCTGCCCAGAGATTTTCCTTCCCGGAGACAATGGATTAAAAAGAGCAACAAGAGTAATCACAAGTCAAAAAGGTTTCAGTGAAACAATAGCTACAATCATCCTGTATTGTGTTAGGCAAGAAATCAGCTTTTTTTAAGAGCCAGCTGAAGGAGGTGATTGCAGCTCTCTGCCTCACTCCCCGTTCTGCTCCCAAACAAAGCCTCTGCAGCAGGGACATCCTGAATGCAGGAAAACACCTGCAAGAGCAAAGGGGAGCTCCAGCTTCCTTGGTCATTCTGACATGTGTCATAACATACCGGAGTTACCTGCTTACTGTCGGTCAGTGCCTTTTGCTCCCACGCGGAATGCTGTTTGCTACGTGGCGTGTTTACTACGGAGCGCGTGTGCAGCTTTCCCACCGTGTAGCATGGAACAGAGACCTAAAAGACTGCGTCTCTGACGGTGAACTTCTGAAATGTCCCTCTGTCCCACGAAGGGCAGTGCAAACAAGCAGGTTAGTTGGTAATTTCAAGAGCATCCTGCCCTCTCAGCATCACTCCTTCCCTGACTGCTCGAGTGAGCTGCTTACATATAGTCTTTCTTTTGGAAACTGATCTTGTTGCTGCATCTCCTGTGTTGGAATACTGAAGCCCTGTGGACCAATGTAATCCTGAGAAAGCAAAGCTAATACAAACGGAGGAGTAGGAGTTCTTCGCCGAGAAAACACAGGCAACTGAATTAATTGGAAGAGGTGAGAAATACAAATCTGTCTCGAGAGAGCATGCAGTGTTGGAAACTAATCAGAGTGGAGTTCACCAGCACAGGGACAGAAGCAAAGTTTTTAGCTCCCCAAAAAATCCTTCTCTTAGCAAAAAGTGGCCGAGCATTTCTCATGCCCACACATCTCCGTGACCACCCACGGCTCCAGCCGCACAGACCCAGCGCTCACAAAGCACGCCACAGTGCTTCCCCAGGAGGATCTCTGCACTAACTCAGCTGGACACTTCACCTCAGAGCAGACTGAGTAAAAAACGTCCCAGATGGCCTCGAAAAGCTCCTGCCTCTCAGCACCGCTGTACGATTTTCTCTGGAAACAGTAAGATACGTGCGGTCAAAAGGATCACTGAGAAAGGGTGAGGCACCCCTTGTCTGCTCACAGCCCTTGAAGAGAGGGTTCAAATCCACCGTGCTCTGCTGGGAACAGGACCTCTCGGCTTTCTAGATGTGCAAACAACATGGGAAGCGGGGACAAGGCTGGGGATCCCAGGTGGAAGACATCCTCCTCTCAGCAATGCCTGCTCCACAGTGCTCTAGTCTTGCTGGCGAGCTGCAGTGTGCTGCTGGGGGTGACTAACAACAGATGGGACCCCCTGACCCCAAAACCATCCTCCCCTCGCCTACGCCTGTCCCGCCAATCAGAACCCTGCACAGGCCACGCAGGGGGCAGCTCTGCTTCACCCCAGCCTTTTGCTCAGGAGACAGGGACCATGGGCAACCCATCCCCAGCATGTCCAGGGCCCTCCCCGTCCGTAGCAGCAGCTCCGGCCTCATCCTGCCCCGCTGAGCTGACAGCAGCCCAGGGACACAGCTGGAGGAAAGGGTGCCTGCGGCTGCTCAGCCACCAAGGGGGATTTCACAACCAGTGATTCCCAGAACACCGAGCTAAGCAGCAGCTCAGTCTGGGAAAGAGCAAGATCCTGGACGGAGAGAAGGCGCTTAATCAAAACCTTTCCTCAACATCTGGCATTAATATCCCAGCAAGTGTGCGCAGCTCCCCTGCTTCTTCTAACCCACTTATCAGGCCAAGGCCACTAAAACTGTGGCCAGAGCCTGCACAGCCATCGTCACCACACACAGCAGCCGCAGACCTTAGCCTCCCACCACGTCCCTCTGATGAGAGGAGCCTCAGTGCTCTGCATTCGTCCCACAGAATGAGCTGGGACCTGCCTGATGCAGCGTGTGTGCCTGGCTGGGGCTGGCTGTGAAGCGCTCTTCAGCTGGGACAAAGAGAAAGGAATTTCCATGGTAATTTAGCCAGAACATCCTTGGGTGAGTGGGATGTGAGTGGGAAATCCATTTCTAATTTTACACAGCCTGCCCTGTTCACTGATAACACACAAACCGACATCAACCAAGTCTGAGACAAGTTTTCATACTTTCCATATGTTTTTCAGCAAGAAAACAGGAAGGAGGGAGAGACCCACACCAGCCTGTCCTCTGTCCCACAAGCCCATGATTATGACCATGTTTTGCAATCGCTTGAAGCTTTCCTGGGAATTTCTCAGGCTGCTGCAAGGAGAAATCCCCGGCACTGCTCAGCCCAAGAATGTCACTTGTGTAAACCAAGACGGAAAACACGCTGTTGCAAAACTCTGATGTCGTGACTGAGTAACGTTCTGCAAATGATTTATATAGCAGAGCTGCTGCAAACACACCGACCGCTCCAAACGCCAATGACCCTTCTCTAGTTTTATTTTCAGTATGAAGGTGAACTTCATACTGAACTAGGGTCAGCTAGGGTCTCTGCTGGAAGCAAGAGGAGGAGATCAGGATAAAGCACTTCAAGTCCTGGGATGCAGGAGACACAGCCACAAGTGCATCCAGCTGCACGTCTCGGCTGGGGGCTGACTCTCAGAAAAGCTTGTACAGATTCATGGAGCATTTGCACAGGTATTCAGCCCCAGGATCTGACGCATGACTCCCAGCAGCCCTGGCCACCAACCACATGATAGCATCATTTCCTTCCAGCAGGACTTTGCCCAGCCAAGGATACACCTGGTGCTTTCCTACACTGATGAGCAAGGTCACTGATACAGCCTTCTCTAACTTTCAGGAAGTCTTTGCTGAGCAAGTCCAAGTCAGAAAGAGCTTCTGTAAGGTCCTGAATGAAGTCAAGCAGTAATTCCCATCATAATGGGAACAGAGACATGCCACAAAGAACATTTCCCCTCTTCAGCACAGGAGCATTTATTTAAGGTATATCTATCCACAACCCTTGATGCACAGTTTAAGGATTATAAACAACTCTCTAAACCGGTCAACAGGATTATTCCAGGTCTGAAGTTGCTGAGCCCCTGTTTACACTCATGCTCCGGATGGGCCAGCTGCACAGTCAGCCAGGAAGCAGTCACCATCCCTCTACAGGCACCTCCTGGTCATGTCAACCTTTCTGCCCTGATACT